AAATAGACCAATCTTAATATCAAGGCACGCCCAGTTTAGCTTTCCCCTAAATATCGCATCACACGTGTTCAAACAGCCACTGTGGAGCCAAACAGGGATGCAAAAATAATTTATCTTCCTCAGTTTAGCGTTGGTTGATGTTTGGACTGCATCTAATGCGAATACAGAATTAATTACTAATTGTTTGATTGACAGAAGTTGGAATTTCCCCAAGATGATGGTTTCAAAATGATTGTTTTAGTTCCCCAACATCCATAAACCAACCGAATCAAAAAGCAAGTTAGGACTGAATGTGCACCTACGCCTCGTATGAGTTTATTTGATATCAAACCCACAATAAAGGAGATAAACTCATGAAGCAGCACCTGAACAGCTGGCAGACACTGTTTAAAGTTCACTGATAAAGGTTATGGTGCCTGACGCACCTCTTTAACAATCTGAATCAATGGCCTTGAATATTTTCCCCATAAAAAAAACATCACGTTTCAACAATAAGTTCGTTGACCTCATTACAAGTTTGCTCTGTGGTGGAGGCGGTCGCATCGTCTCATGAGAACGGCTCATGAGCGTGTTTTGTCGTTTTTCTACGTTATCAGCGGGCTGCGTGAACCAACCAAGGCTTTTCAGTGGAGATTAATGGCCTGCAACGCAAGCCAGGAGACAAACAGGAAATGGAGCAATCGAAAAACATGTCTGGACTACATTAGGTCAATATGGATGTCACACCGCTTCCTGCGTCGAACGCCGAGCAGAAACCGCCTAGAATCGATGGCTGCATGTGAACATGAGATTCAATTGATTCCTGAAGGGGAAATTCACAGAAATAACAGCAGACAGGGACGAACAAAGAGTCTGAGGAAGAGATGGATATCAGTAAATATCGACTTTCACACAAACTCAGACGGAGGCACCGTGTTCGTCTACCAGCAGGTGGATTCGTATCGTTGGGGCTCAGTTCACCTTGCAGCCTCGAGTATCTCAGTTTTCCCATTTTTCTGTCCGATCTACAGGTTACTAATTGTGACATAAGGCAAAATACTTCCTTAAGTATTCATTTACAACCTCTGCAACACAGAAAAATGCAAGAAAATCAGCTCCGATTGAACCCATGTGTTCACGACGAGACACAGAAATGGAAAAAGGAGCCGACTGCAGTCAAACTGAAAGGGACAAAATACTGAAGGAGGAGTGGGAGACTTTCAACCTGACACATAATGAGTCAATTAATCAATCAGTAGGCTGAAAAAACGCTTGATGGTTACCTGAAGAAACTAACCCCGCTTTGGTAGGTTGCTTTGTTAAACCATCAATAGTTCTGCTTCACTTTTTATCCATTTCTAACACTACGGGTGTTTTTATGCATCAGCTTGTATTTTGCAGAACTGAATTGATAAACTGTTTTCTACAAAAAGAAGATCCAAAAAGAAGCAAAAAAAAAAAAGCATGAAACATTTGCTGGTTCCTGTTTGGACCCGTCTGGAGTCGGACCAGCGGAGCGGCTTCCTGCTTCGGGAAGCAGAACAGCAGGAATACTTCCATGAAGGCGAAGGTGATGAGGGCGTGATAAGCTCACATCAGGACGGTGCGTCCGTGCAGACGTCAGCTGTAACAGACGATGATTTTTATCTGTTTCAGGATGAGACCAACAAAGCGACCATTTCCTCTAAGAATGTAAATGAGGCCCAGATAGAGCCACAGAAGGTCATCAGAAAAACACCGTGACGTGCACCAAGTAGTTCTGCCAGAGCTGTGAAGCCGATTTTCATTATCTGTCCTTCAGCTGTTGATTATTTTCTCTGGTAACAATTTGTGGAAAACATTAAATAAAATCGTATGTTTAAAACGTACAACAATGAAGGTTCAAGGAAAGCTCTGAACCAGCAAATGTGCTTTTTTTATTTTTAAATTTTTGGTTGTTGTTTTTTAGAATCTATTCAACTTTCTACTTAAACCATTCGTTGCAGCTCTAATCTTTTCAATAATCAAAGTATATAAAACAAAAACAAGATATTTTCAGTATCAATTAATCTGCAGATTCAAAAATATATTTCTTTTTTTACTAAATGCTTGAAAACAGTGTCGGAGTTACAAAAAGCAAATAAAAAAAAAGTTGATTATCAAAGCAGTTGGCTGCTGCGTTAAAGGACAAACTGTTCTCTGTTGAATGACTCCGAATGATTAAATGACTTTCAAAATGGTTGCTAATGGTCTCAGTTTCGAAATTAACTGTGAAAAATCAATCTGAGCTTTTTTTTTTGGACACAGTTTTAGGATCAATATGACACCTAACCACCATCGTACTGGAGTAAAACTGAAGCTATGGCGTATAACAGGAGGGTGTCTGCAGACGGATTTCAGTTTCCTGCGTTTTAGAACATTTTAATGCTTTAATACAACATGGAATATAAAATGTTGAACTGAGGCTTATCAATCTACACTAGAGCCTCATGTTTTTTGAAAACTTTACAGAATTTTGGAGCAAGAACGACACAAAACCTTCCTGGTGGTGACAGAAGAATACAGTCAAGTCCGACTGATGTTGAATATTCTGCTGATTATTCTATTCGACAAATACACTAGCTGTTAGATTGTAAGAAAATGGTGCAATATTCAGATCGGTGTTCATGTTTTGTCCAAAACCATCTAGATATTCAGTTTACTGTCAAAGAGAAGAAAGAAAAACTTAAAATGTTCACCGTTAAGAAGGTGGACTGAGAAACTTAAGACTTCTTTTTCTTTAAATAAAATACTTAAACTGATAAATAGATTAACGAAACAGTTGGCCATTAACTGAATAGCTGGCGACTAATTCGTTATTCACTTAATTGCTGCAGTTCAAATAAGGACATCAGTGTTGACATTCAGCTCCAAAAACCAGCACAATCTATTTAACTAACAAACTACTTTGGAAGGTTTAGTCTGGGGTTTGGAAGGATTGATATCTGATTAGAGAAATGCTGCTGGTTGGTTTTCAAGTGCAGATGCGACTTCTCCACCAACTACAAGAACATATGCCCGCAGTAAAAGCACTGAACTAAGTAGAGAATCTGCTGTGCTGGCAGCACACTTCAGGAGGAAAACATTAAGCTCTGATCATCACGATAAGTCATACTGAAACTCATAGGGGGAGGTGTAAACCAAAGCATGCTAACATCATACAGTCTGCAGCCACAACAACCACACAGTGTGAAACCTGCCAGCGAAGATCTGCGTCTCAGAGATCAGAAGGAGTCCAGACCAGACAGTCCCACGTGTGCATGAAAAGCTGCTCGTCTAGAACTAGGCTGTGTGGTTTTTTGGTCGTTTTTTTTTTTTTTTTTTTTTAACTCCGCTTGCGTTTCTAACTTTTGGATAGCGTGTCTGTTTCTTTTGCAATCGCACTTCAGCTCTCCGGAGATTAATTTAATCTACAAAAGAAGCGCGCCTGTCTGTCAGCCCGCAACCAGAGCAGAAACTTCCTCCGTCGGCCTGCAAACAGAAGCAGAGCGGCTCCTTTCACAACAGGGTGGAGACTCCAGCTTCTACCAGACTTTACCCTGGAAGACGCCTCGGCAGTCGGCCTTGTAAAACCCCAATCAGCTCCGAGCGCTTGAACAGTTCACCTCGTCTGCAGAGTTGAATCACCAAGTTGTGTTTTGCAATTCAGAACAAAACTGCTCACACCTTTAATTGCAAATGAAATTCCCAGCAGATTGGTCACACTTCTTAGCAATCGGAGATGACTTTTACTAACTTTTCAAACCAATTGCATAATTTCTGCAGGACTCATATATAAGAGAAGGTTGATTAAAAAAAAAAGAAAAAAAAAGGAGAAGCTAAAACGCTTGTCTGTGCAGTTGAAACGCCGAACAGGATGGCAGTTATTTGCTGAGACATGCAAAAGATTAGTAAAAACAATAATAAAATCGCTGGCCACAGCTTACACGTCCAGGAACTTTGCATGCAGTGAAGGCCACTTCCTCCCTTGCTCAGCTTTCAGTTTTGCGAATAGTGGCGCACTTCTTGCAAGGAGATGATTAAGTTTTACAAGAAATTAAACTCATGTTGCAACACAAAATCACACCGAGCAGCAAAACAACCAGTAAAAAGAAGTAAAAACAAAAACAAAAACAAAGGAGTGACAAGTTTGAAAGCAGCTACAGGAGCTTACAATTACTAAAGAGACATTAAAAGTCTTTAATGTTCAAGATTTTCTAGTTTAAGCTTCTGAAAGTTGTTTGTTTTCCTCGACACCTGTCACGTCCTCAAAGCTTCTGTTGCAAAACATGATGAAAATGAGTTAAATCTGAATTTACAATCACGTTTTCCAACAACACTCAACCAAACTGCACACAGAGTTTAAAATCCAGCAGGTAAAACCCACATGTGACTTCTTTTTTTTTTCTCTGTTATTTTTTTTCTTTCTTTCAGGCTTTTATTTATTAATGTGTTGGTTAAAGGAACAGTTACACATGTTGGTTAGCTTCCCAGCAAACAGAAACGCCCAGAAAACCTTCAGGGAACGTTCTCTGGCGGTTAGTTATTGTAGAAAAACCAAGTTTGTTGTACACAGAACATACTGGGAACGTTCCCTCAAAGTTCCCTGAAGGTTCCTGAACCCAAAATCAGCATAAACAAACAAACAGTGTTTCTTGGGGTGTTTTTTTAGCTGCATTATAAACGGGACAACACTTTCACTGATCACCACATCACTTCACAACACAGAAAAAAAAATTTGTTTAACGGTAAAAGTTGATTTTGAAACGGGCACGAGACCCCGGCTGCACCTCGAACCTTTGAAGTGTTGTTTAACGAAGTAACGTGAGCCAAACCGTGAATTTAACGACATTACCAACTTATAACACCGTGTAAATTGTTTGCAAGTTGGAGAAACCGTGAAAACGTATTGAAATGTGAGCTTAAACAACATCACAGAGTGTCTGCACGTTTTTTAAAAACTGCGTATTTTTTCGCAGAGTGCAGAAAGCCAGCGCTAGCCGCGTTAGCCATTTTCTACTCACTTGGTCCTCCTCGGGAATAAGAGTTTCGGCGTCCTTCTTCACATCCTTCTGAGCCAAAGCCGAGTTAAAAGACACTTTAACCATCCTGGATCAAACGCCGGCGAACTCCGAGCGGCGAGAAACACGACGAAAAAGATGTCCGAAGAACAGAACAGAAGGGGGACAAAAACAGAATTTGCTCCGAAGTGAAGAAGTCGCACTTCTCTCCGGCCAAGTCTGATCTGTTGTGATGATGGCGACGTCAAGCTGGCGGTAACCCACCGCGCCGCTTCCGGTGAGACTTCAAAATAAAACGGCGTTTCTTTAAAAAGAGGAAATAGTTTTTTACTAAAGTAAAGTGATACCTCAATGAGGAAGAAAAACACAAACCAAAACCCCGTTGTTCCCGGAATTATTTTTTTTCTTCTTCTTCTTACTTTTTTTTTTTTGGGGGTTTTGGGTTTCCAAGTTTTTTACAATGACACAAATGTCAAATAAAAGCGCAGTAATGAATGTATTCATCAGGTGTTATTTAAACAGAACTGAATTAATTTATCAATATGTTTTTTTTCTCTCTCATTACTGTTATTGAATGTAATGAAATTTAACAGAGTTTTAGCAAGTTTAATTTATTTATTTTACATTTATTTTATTTTTATCTTAAAACCTACTTTTACTCCTTGGCTTTTGACGCAGTACGAGACTTTGTCTTTATCATTTTATTGTCGTTGTTGTTTTAACTGTTTTAATTGTTTGTTTTATGTTTTGTATGCATTTATTCTTGATGTACAGCACTTTGTGTCAGCAGTGGTTGTTTCTAAAGTGCTTTATAAATAAAGTTGAGTTGAGCTGAGTTGAGTTATTTATCTTTTGTCTTTCTCTTACTATTTATTTTATCCTACGATTAATTTTTGTTGACGCTGTACATGCCAATGCACAATAACTGCTACTACTAATTAATAAAAATAATTATGATGACAGTACTAGGATGGAAAACACTGTGTTACAAGTCAAAGCTTTCAAAAATCATTCTATATAAGTGTTATTTAAACAAAATTAAATTAATTCATTAAT